GCATTTTATCTTCATCGGCGATACTTTTGTCATCGTGGATTTTCTGGAACTGACTCCAAAAAGTCAGGTAATCTTTAGCTTCACCACTGAATTTTTTAAGCTCAATTTTAGGCAATTTAAATTTCCTAGATTATTTGAAGGAGAAGAGGCTTGTATTTCCGCATCTATTTGAGCACACTGTTCTAGAAACTTATCTCGATAATTCTCCGCTTCTTGAAAATCATCACTAAATAATTTTTCTCCATCTTCAGTCTGCAGAATTTGCTGCGATATAGCACTCTGGCATACGTCAAGTCTCTGGAATTTATCACAAAGTTGACACTTCAAAATCGAAAGTATTTTCAAATCTCTTACTTCTTTAGTTAATTCACTTTCGGTTTTCCTTGAGGTTTGCGAAAACGCAATTCTAAGTCCTTTTCTTTGAGCCTTTAAAGCGATCAAATCCATCTTCAAAGTATATTCAAAATCGAAATTCAATAACAAAAGTTCAATCGGAAAATTCTAATTCAAAGCACCCGGTCCCGCCGAGGGTACCACTATGTTACGAAGAACACAGAAAATATATAAATCAAATATATTTAAAACAGTTCGTTCAGTTGCGGGCCTGCCTCTACCCGAGGCTGGGTGCATTATGAATAAAGACAAAAAAATTCTTAATAAATCATTCTTTATTTCCATCAAAACAGTATCACTCTTCCGAGCTCAGCTTTCGTTCGTCCACACGTAAAAACATTCGAAAACACTCAGCACGCAGGCTGACGTCACAAGCAGCAGCGCCTCGCGCCGGTTATTACTTCAGTTCATTTCACAACAATCACTATTTATATCGAGTAATTTCATAGTGAAATTCTCTTGCTACATAAAAAAAAATATTTCATAAACGAAACGAAAAAAACATTTTTGAGAAAAAGTTGAGAAGCCAATACATAGCTAATACGTGAAAAATCCCCCTTCTCTACTTATTGGCGCCACGCCAGGGAGATAAGACTTTGAACCCAGAGTCACGTGATCACACATCTGGTCGAATGAAGTCTCTCCCTTTTTTTTCTGCCACGCCTACTTGCCAAAAAGAATCCAGAAGAGAATGTCCGAGAACCGGGGGAATGAGTCATAACTTGCAATAAGGAAAGAAAAAAAAAGTTTTTTCCCCCTTTTCACGCATTATCACTGCCTTTGGAGAAAGAAAGGAAAAGTTTTCACCACACACACTGACCTTGCCTTTTCTGCTTTCAAAGCAAACAAAATTACCCAGATCAAAATAAATAATTCATTATTATTCCTACTTCCTTTTGAACGACGATCCCCGGAAAAGTTAAAAATCCCCAGAATTCCGGGGTTTCCCTGGAGCACAAACACCCCTGTACTATTAAAAAGGTAGCTAGTGGTTCAGGCATTGGCAAAATTACAACTGGCAACTAGAGAAGGAAAAGGAAGGTAATTGAAAATAACCAAACAGTTGATGAAAGGCTAAAACTAGCTAATCTGAAAGACATAATTTACTGGCAGGGAGAATCGTGGAATGAAGTAAAACAATCTGTCATTCTGAAAGCAGGAAAGATATTTCACCAAGTGACGATAACACAAGAATGACATGAACTCAAGGAGCAGATGATGAAGAATTACCAGCTATAAGTTACAGGGGTAGTAATGGAGAAAGATGTGAATGATTGGATGCAAGATGAGCAATTTGAAACTGTCTGATGAGGCCACTTTAAATTCAGTCATGCACTATGAAAGTTTTGTTGATGAAAACACGAGCCAAGATCAGTCACATGCATGGCTTGAGAGCCACCGAAATGGCACTGCTCTATACTGAACAGCAAGACGATATGACACCAGCCAGCATTATGATTACTCTGAAAAGCAGAAAAAATATTCTGCCAAGTGATGATAACACAAGAATGCCATGAACCTCAAGAAGCAGATAATGAAGAATTAGTGGTCATATTAAATCAGGTATAAATTAGAGGTAGTAGATGTGAATGATTGGATACAAGATGATGAACAATTTGAAACTGACTGATGAGGCCACTGTAAATTTAGTCATGCACGATGAAAATTTTGTTGATGAAAATATGGAACAAGATCAGCCACATATGTCTTGAACACCACTGAAAAGGCACAGCTCTATGCTGGAACAGCAAGATGATATGTCACCAGCCAACATAATGTTTCGATGTCTACGCAATAAAGTGGCAAGAAAACAAGGCAGCACAATAAGACAGAAGGCCGTCACTAAATTTTATATGCTGTTCAGTACCTCATTTGTATAACAGGTACAAGTTTTCAAATTTATAGTACACATCATATTTAGTACTAAGTGTAGGTCTGTATATTTTTAACAAATTTATTTTATATCGCTATGTAACTGTATGTCAGCAAATTCCCTACAGTATGTACAATAAGACTACTGAAGTTTTCATTGTATCAATCCAAGTTAACACCGGTCCACATTACCTTGGATAATTGGGGTTCTGCTATATTATAAATGCAGAATAATTTTTTTTTTTTTAAACTCAGACATTTTTTTTTAATTGCATTTAAAATTATCACCAACTTTAAAACTACAGTAATATCCTATATTTGAACACTATGCAAATAGTGATCGAGATTATTAAATTAGCATATTTTAAACCTCCTTAGTAGCACATAATGATATGATTTTTCAAATATGCTATTCTTACTTTAAGCTTGAATTGATGGAGGATATTGAATAATTAAATAAAATGACAAACAGTAAAACAATCATTAAATTATGACAGCTTTTTAAAATTTATTTCTATACCTGAAAGATACACAATGCTTTAGATTTGAAAATATGTATGTTTGAAAATTGAGTATTTTTTAGATGGAGGTTTATAATCCAACATCTTCAATTATTTTACAAATGGGGGTTTTCTCCAATATGATGCAATTTTATCATAAAATGATGTATTTGTAGCATAAAAAAAATCTGTTTGATGATCTAATTTAGATGTTTGAGAAGACAGCGCTTTTATAACATGTTTACTTATATCATGTATCATGTGTCTAAAATTAATGCACTCACTACCATATTTACACTTAAGACTAAACAGCTTGTTTAAAATACTTTAAACAATTCTAAAAAAAAAAAAAAAAAAAAGAGAGAAAAAGTTTCTATTTTTTTTTTATTCAGCGATTAAAATCTCTTTAAAAGCATCAGAGATTAGTTTAATATTTCATTTTAACACATTTTGCATCATTTCATTAAATGGAAATATGCCTGATTTCAGTCAGTGATTAACAAAAAAATCTACTGATTAAATGATCTTAATCATCCGACGAAAATCAGTGACCTCCTCCTCCTATATGCAGAACCTTAAACACTGTGGATATCCAAATTATTCATATAATATGCAAATATATGATAAAGTTTAATAGATAAATTAGATACAGTAACATATTAATAATATTAAAGAAAGTAATGACATTGTAGGCTATATTGCATTTTTATTCTCTTGTATACATGGAAGAAATTTTGATCATTTAGCTCCAAGAAGAAATCATACAGCAACAAAAAAACACTGTACCTACCATTAGGCAGTTCAATATTACCTCCGAATCTGCAGGTAATTCGTTATAAGACATATATATTACAGATAACAGAGAATGCTACGTAGAATAAAATATCCATGTAACATGTATAAATACAGTGAAGTTTATTTGATAAATCTGGCACAGTAAGACACTATCAATATTAATAAATAACAATAAAATATACCATACACCATATCACTTTATATACTACATTGTCAACATAGCAATTCAAAATTTATTCTATAAATTTTTCCTTTCTCACTAACTGATAAGACATGGCAAGCTTTCTTAAGTTTAAATGTACTGATAGCATAATAATTCTCAAGCTTAAAAGCCATTATGACATATAAAAAATTTTTAAATCCAACAGCTTCCACAGAATGTCACTAATGAGAACAGAGGATTGTTAAAGGCAGAGTTAAAAGAAATTGAACAGGAAAATCTGTGTATGTGGGAGAGGAATCAAATGTTTTGATTGCTGATAGCCATGGTTCCCTGCTGACATCTTTTTAGCCATCAAATAAGTAAAGTATGAGTCTGAAGAGTAATCTGTAGCCTGAGAACATAAGGAGGGACCAAAGATGACCACTTTTATTCCCCCTCCCATTTAGTTATATCCAATAGGAAAATATATGCACATGCACATAATATGATTACTGAGGGAACACAGTGCTTAGCTTGTTTTGGGACTGAATTTCACATTTTCAAATAGACTGTTTATCACTTTGCATACCTCTTTTTTTTTTTTTTTTTTCTTTAAAGACATTTTCCTTTATTTTGTGAACTGTGGTTAAACAAAACCATGGACACAGAGGTATGCACACGATTTCAAGTACACTGCACACGATTTCAAGAAACAATAGAAAAATATGCCATGCTTTCTATCAAAGAACTGCATTAGCAATGACACAATGATCCAAAACATGCATGCTGTACTGACACTACCTCTTCTCTTGTATGTCAACGTGAAATATGAAATGCTCTTTCTAGCAACTGATAGCAAAATCAGAGTTTAGCTAGGAACCGAGTAACTGCACACTAGCCTCAGGCATGCACTTACCACTTACTAAATATATGCCATAACTGCACTATATATTAGAAGTGCACCTTGGTCTCTTAAAGAAGGATATTTCAAAGTTTACAGTACACATAATTTTAAATTCTTTCATTAATTACATCTGAATAAATTTGCATTTATGTTGAAAACTTCAAAAGTGCATCCTCCTCAGATGGACTACAAGGAATCATGAATTCAAATCACTACACAAGCCTATCTACATTTGATGGAAACAAACAATATTCAGCATATTTATTTTGCCCTATTCTACAGCCCACTTTCATGTAATACACTTTAGATAACTATATATTCTTTAATATCAAGGTACTTTTGGGGCTACTGTGCACCAAGGAATACTCAACATGCAGATACAGAGGCATGGTTGTGATTGTTTAAATTTTTATTTAATATCAATGTTGAACAAGAAATAATAATAATAAAAATCAAAGCAAAATACCTTTTTCCGCAATTTGCCTCGAATGTGACATAGTCTTTTTACACCATCAAAGCACATGGCTTCCAGTCTGCCATTTCCTAACATCTTCACTACCTGGGCATATTCTAAATTAGATAAAAGTTTTAAAAACCAAATTTTACTCCAGTGAAAAGCTTTAAACATGCATGAAAGTACACAGTAAAATATGACTTATTCTTTTGGAACATAAAATCATTTTTGACAGTAATTGTAACGTATGAAATTTTTAAAATTGATTTCTATCAAAGCTAAGGTTTTTGCATCAGGCTTGAGGTATTATCATCATTTTCCCATCCATCACAAAATCATCTTTTCCACATGTTTGACCTGCATATGCTTAATACATTTCAAATGCGTGATGCTATTCTTCTGTCATAACAGCAAAAATTTGTTATTCTTTGCTCAGCTTTCATATCTATGCCAGCAGATGTTCACTGGATCAAAAAATGGAAACATTTAACTATATTTAAAGCAGATGATAGTTCAAGAAAAGCAAATTTAGATGATACAGAACTTAACGCTGTCAATTACAGTTTGGCAACTTGTTGGAATTTTTATTAAAAAAATTGTAGATAAAAAAACTTTTTAGAATTTTTTTTTTTTTTTTTTTTTGTATGTGTGTGTGTATTAAAGAACTTCCTGGTCAGTAGCATATTACAACTTCTCTGGTTAGTAGTACAAACTAAAAATTGCACTTCGTTACTTTAAGTTTAATAAATAGGAAACCTTCATTGAAACATATTATAAAGTAAAGGACTATTTAAAAGTGCAATCCAACCTATAAAAATGAGAATATTACTAATAAAAATGTTTCCCAACATGGCTAAAAAAGAACTCATATACACCACTATAAAGCAAAATGTTAAAAATAAAGGTGAAAAAATGCCTTTATTTATAAGACAATTTGGTAAAAATATATTTCAGGGTACCCCTTAGAGAAAATTGGTGATTTTGTGGCATCATTCCTGTTTCGTCCAACGCCTTCCCAGTAAAATGGCGTCCAAAACGTAATGCAATAAAATATAATTAAAACAAAAATATATAATCTCAAACTACATTTTAAATCAAACAAGGAAATAACATAAGAATGGAAATATATGTTATCTAAGTACAAAAAAGAAATATTGACTTAACTTTATTTAAAACTTTCTGTATCTTTGATATGTGTGATACACAGAACTCCTTAACAGCACCCAAAAACTATTTAAAATTACCTAAACTAGAATCTGTATACTGCCGTCGCCACATTAATTCACAAAACTAAAAATGAAAAATATATTCTCCGTACTGCCAGCAGCAGTACGAATGAATGCTGCCAGCAGCAGCATTCTTTCGAAAATCCCTTTTTATTACACCCCACATACCTTCCATAGTGTTGATATGGGCTCCAGTTTCGAAATCTTTAAATCTCACTGTGAAATTTACTGAGAGGTAAATGAAGCCGTTTAAATCTTCATTTACACACCAGTCAATCAATTTTTTCTTTCCCAATTGTTCCAAAGTGTACAGAAACTTCAGGTTAATCATATCACTAAGCAGCCTTTTTACGGTGTAAAGCACAAAATAAGCAACATACTTCCTTACCAGCATCTATACCTAAGAAAGCCCTTACAAATATTTTCCCACAGTCAAAATCACTACAATCACACATTACAACCAGTCAAGTCATAACAGGGTTTCGATAACATTCAATTACTCAGGTTACCATAAATGAAACTTGGCAAAAATCCAAGGGGTACCCTAATATATAGACTAACTGGTGATTTTTAATTAATCTTGTTTTTATTCATAAATATTCCACGATAAATGCTACTTAAAGTAATGAGTCGACACTTAAAGTAATGATTACTCATCAGGGTTTTTGTCGTCCAGTACAATTTCTGTGATTCCTAAATTCTGCCACCCAGTAATTTGGTAAATTCTAATAATTTTGCCACCCCTAAGTTCTGCTGCTTAAAATTTGAAGATTCTATTACAATGTCAAGTGCAAAAATCCTCTAACTAATGAGAATGTTTGTCAAAACAACTGTCATTTTTCTTATGGCAATTACTCAGAATAAAGGTCTTTTTCTTTGTATGACACAAGGAGTCATTACAATTAATGCCAATTATATATTCAGATTCAGGGGCTGCTAAAACATAATTCGCTGGCATTGCCCAAATATAACAGTATAGCATTACTGTTACAGCTATATGTCAAAAATACTATCTTTGAAATTAAAACACCATTTAATAGTAATATCTAACTTCCTGAAAAACTAGCATTTTCAAAAAGAGATAAATGCAATTATGTATAAACAATACATTTACTACCTTCACAGCAGTACAAGCATTTCACTTTAGATATACAAACTGCAGTAATAATAATGCTATATTTTAACGTACAATTCTTGCTGTTACAAAAACAAATTTAATGCTAAACAGATTAGCTAGATGCCTCGTGAGATGTTCTGTCTACATTTCAAATTTTGAACAATTTTAACATAATTTGAAACATCCCACAAATCTAAGAATACTTCCAATAGTTCTGCTAAGGGAAGGAGAAGATTAAATTGCAACCTAAAAACTTTAGATTAGTCTCACATCTTGAACATTTAAAGTTAAAAAACAATAAGGTTGTTTTAAAAAATTGCAATCTGATTTCCGTATGCATATTTCAGTTTAATGCCTAAAATAGTTTTAAGTTAAACTGTTCTGATTAAACAAATAGTCTTGAAAAATTAATTCTTCAAGAGTTCATGATGAAAAATATAAAATCATGTGTCTAAAATGAACTTTTACAAAGAGCAAAGCAAAATGGTAGTAAATAAATTTTCTAAATTATTTCGTCGTAAATTTAAGCATGTGGAGACTGCACACTTATTTGTAAAGAAAATATTACTGAAGACATAGCTCAGCAGTTATTACATTAGATCACCTGAACATTAATGAGGCTTCCAACAAATATCCGCATTTTGTTAAAACTACCATCACATAAGCCTTTAGTCATATTTGAAATCTGCATGTTACAGATTGAGTGATTAAGGCTGCTAGTATTGATGATTAAGACCGGTGGGCACTTTAACAAGCAAATATTTAAATATTTCTCTTAAATGACAATACTTCGCTAGGGATGCAAAATTCATTACCTCCAAAATCAGTAGTTGAAAGACATTGAAAAATTATTATTTCAAGAATGGGCTCTACTCTCATACAAAAAGAGATACTTATGGTAAAACCCTGCCTACACATGGTAGTAAAGACTCCTTTCCCCCCCTCTATCACACATTTTTTGGGGGAAAAATGATTAAAATTTGGGACCTGCCTACTACAGTCTTCTGTAGTTTCAAAATTTCAAAGCATGCTGTTGAACAACGGGAAAAAAATATTTTGCAAGACTTATATTTTCTCATGAAAATAATTGCTTTTACAGTGCATCTCCTTAATAATAAATAATCGAAATTTTTAATGAAAAATTAAACATGAATAAATGATAATATAATAAATTTGAAAGAAAAATAACAATAGAAAATTTTTTCTTGTATTTAGTAATTTTTTTTTTTTTGTTGTTGTTGTTTCGCATAACTGGCATTGTTTCTTGTGGTAGACGGGATTTTCTGCAAGTACCCAAAAGGACAATATACATTTACCAGAAAAATGATGTATAATTACACTAGTAAAAATGCATAAATAAAAAAGTAAAGGATATTTATCTAAAATGCAATTTTTATTATACCATCATTTAGCATTTACATTAAAAATGTGCACTGTTCAACACATCGCTGTCTATTAAATTCAGAATATTTTTCAGAAAAATTTAATTTACCTTGACCATCTTCTTTAAAGACCAATTCTCTCTTTTCTGCTTCGTTTTCATTCTTCCCTCTTCTTCTATTTTTACCTCCCTTGCCTATTGGAAAAAGGATCAAATTTAGCAGTACCACCTGAATAATAAATATCTGCTTTATAGAAGCATGAAAATAAATTAGGTGGGTTTTCATCCGCAGAGAACCCGTTGGCGCCGTTGCATGTTTACTCGCCAAGCTCGCGGTTCATCGACGATGAGCCGAGCCGTAAGCGTGATATTTATTATTTTGTAAACGTGATTTTTAGTGCATGTAAGTTCAAGTTAGCAGACAAAACAATATATTAAGCATATGGTAGTAAAAATTCACAGATAATATGCATGTAGAAGTAAAACTAACCGGTTAAACGTGATATACGGATATAAATTTGTATTAAATTCAAGTTAGCACAGAAAAGAATATATTAAGCATAAGACAATATATAAGCATTTATAACGGAAATAAAAAATATAAATTAGTATTAATGTACTGAAATTACCCGGTTAAACGTGATAAACGAAAAAAAAAAAAATTGTCTTAAATTCCAGTTAACACGGAAAACAATATAATCCTTACATCAGCAGTGGTTTGCTAATTTTGATGACCATGGTGATGCATCAAACTATTCTGTCATCTTTGATAATCAATCATATTTTTTGTTTCAATTTAATGATCTATTTATGTCACACCTGCAATCCTCTGAAAGGTTATTGTTAGAAAAGCATTAACAAGATATTACCTTGTTAAAATTTTACGCCATAAAAATTGATTAATTCTCATAATTTTAGATGACAATAACCAATAATAAAAATAAAAGCATTACTTAAAATGCACATGCATATTTTTGCGGCCTACGAAAACAAATTATTTTACAGGTTAAAAACCTCATAGTTCTGCATGCTTACACCTGTTAATAATTAAGAACACAACGTCAACAGCCGTGTTACAAATTAGCAATCGCCTCTCCCGCCGTATTTTCCTTTCATCCCGAACCGAGAACCGGCATTTTATCTACTTCTTTAATTATACGAAAAAACTTCTATCTATTCGTTGTTAAAAGAATTCAGAAAAAATAATAATAAATAAGAGAAGAATAATATAAATCTGCAAATGCGAACAACGACAGTGATAATTCAACAAAGTGAACGCAAGAGGAATGGTTGCAAACTTCGAACAAGCGAATAGGATAAATCCGCGGAGTTACCAGGTTTGAACTATTATCGCCAAAGTTGGCGATGCTTACATTTACCGGGTTCTCTGCGGAAGTATTTTTTAAATGAGACATACTATTATTTTGATTTCTCTAGTCAGGAAACAGGAAAGAAAAATAAATTAGTGATTTTAAACTAATGATTATTTTTGTAAATTATGAAAAATGTCAGATTCGACTAACAGATCAGGCAAAGAACAGCAAGGCTATTGGATTATAAAAAAGATATTGAAATCTTTCTACGGGTAGAAAACAACAAAAAATCAATTATTGGGATCAGAACCTAGCACAAAACTACTAGCGTTGTGCAGCCTTATCCAAAAGTCACTAGTTGGGCGAAAAGAAATAAAATAGTAATGGTATAAAATAAATATCAACAAAATTTCTACACTAGTATTTTGCAAAACAAAGTTTCTCATTAGAAGTGAACCACTTTAATTTTCAGATAGTTGAATGCTTCATTCAGAGCGATCACTACGATTGAATTCTGTCTAAATGAATAGCAAGACTGTGATAAAAATACACTGAATAAGCGCAATGCTAAATATACCTGATTAAAAGTCCAATTTTGACAGTAAAACTGTTTATAATACCCAGAAACAAATGATAGGTATATTAAGCACAAGATTTTGCATCTTATAAATAGCTTATATGTTTAAACCACAGCCCATATTTAAAATACATAAACATTACCTTTATTTTTCGGCATACTTCCGATAAATTAGAGCTTTCAAAATTATGTAATATAATCAATTGAAATTCGCACGCGTAAACTTAATTTGCGGTCAGCAGCATTGGTGTTGCCATACAAAGTTACAATGATAAAGGGAAAATATTTGATCAAGGATCAAGCTCGTTTTGTTTCCTTTCGTTTCATCGAGAATAAGCGATGCATATCATGATTTTGACGATTTCGTCAAATAAATTAATTAGACTAGTTTTATCAGTTCTAATTTCAGAAGCTTAATTAAAAAATTGCTTTATAACCTGTGCATTCCATACTATTTTTTCAGAGACTTGAATTTTTTATGTGACATACGGAAATGAGCATCCAGATTTTCCGCCCTAAAGCCATTTAATACGATCCAATTTCTTGTACCAATTAACAGGCCAAATAAACATTAAATCATATAATGTGATCTTTTTTGGATGTCTACAGAGTAAATAAAATAAACTGGAAAAACTTCTGATTATCAGGTAGTGTTCAAAGAACCAATGAAAAGACTCGATTTGAGAACGGTCGCGTTTCAGCTGATATCGCGTTTTTAAACGCTGTATTGCTTACGCTTTACTGTCTGTATTTTCAACCTAAATCTACGTCCAATCTAAACGGAACTAGGGAGAATTTTATGTGATTTATTCGATAACGAACGAGTCTCGTGCAAGGCCAGCTGGATATCTATAGGCCTAAGCAAGGCCACCTAGTTGGCCTTTGTCTTCTGTCGTTATAGGAATCGGCAAGTATTTCAATAGCGATCTAACCAATGCTTATACTGCGCAGAAGCTTGGCTCTTTTACTTCTCAGTTTCTTAGATAAACCGTAAATTTAGCAGCAATTCTGAACCACAATTTCAGCAGAATTTCGATGTCGAAAATAATAAGTTAGCCTTCAAATAATAAGGCCTTAAAAATAACAAGTTAATAATATTAATCCATTAGTCTCAAAAATTTGTCTTTTCTTCGGGCACAAACCTTGGACGGAGGTTGAGATTTTTAAGGAAAGAAATTGCTACTCACATATCAAAGGCTTTAATTCTTCAGGAAGTGTAAAGAATTTATGAGAAAGATAAATTTTTTATTCCTGAAAGTAATAGAAGTAGGCACTCTGGTCAACGCTAGTTATTTTCCTGGGAAAGGTGGTGGGGTGTGGTGTGGTGTATTTAATTATGGCAAAGCACACTATGGCTATCTGCCTAAGGGAAGGGATGCCTTCGTGGAGGACTTTCTAAGGAAAACTGGCTCGTAATCACGTTACACATGGGGAAAACCACGAAAACACCCATGCAGTCAGCCCGTTCGCGGGATTCGAACCTCTTTCCTGGGAAAGACAAGCTTTTTGAAAGCATGTGACCAAACACGGAGGAAGGCAATTTTTACTTGTACAGAACTTCACGTTTGTTAAGGTCACTTTACAGAGACTTACGTTTCTTAGGCTAGAGGCTTAGCCTCCGCTAACTTTTGGACTCAAATTACAATAGCAAAATTTGTGCTCAGAAAGTGTCGGACTCCTCTTATTTCTTTGTTTCCGTACTTACGTATCCTCCTATCCTTTGTTAAAATTACCTCCTTACTCTGTTACGCTTTCTAGCATTCTTTTAGTGTCGCTTTAAACATTTTACTCTTTTTTTCATTGATGCGCTACAGAAAGAATGATCTTCGCTTTTATCATCCTTAAAGTAGTACACGATGCTGTATACACAAGCCGAAGCCCGGCTCGTTTATCCCTTAGTTTTGAATAGAAAGTGTAATTCCGTCCGAAGCCCCAAATAAAATGAGGTCCAGTATTTTATTTCACTACTATACACAATTATGTATCAAGACAAAGCAACAAGTCATACTTCGAAAAGTACCTCAGCCTTCCTTGAAAATTGAAGGCTGATATAGGTATTACATATATGCCTTTTCAACGTGTTTTTAGAAGTCCCTTGATGTTTCACCTATTTACTATTATGCCTTTGGTCTCTTGAAAAGAGCTCTTTCTAAGCGTAAACCCACCACGATTGGTAAACTCTGGGAATTAGTGTAGAAGGAAGGGAAATCAAAAATCAATATCCCTAGAAATTTTACCCAAAACCCTTGTCATCTAAATTAAGATGTGAACTTGAGGAAAAAAACGTATTAGATCGAACATTTAAAAATATTCTTTAAATTTCAACATTAATTAAACGGTCTCCGAAAAATATGTAAAAACCTTGTAGCTATGAGAAAATAAAATCAAGACCTCTTAAACGTTTGTGGATAGACCCCTGAGTTGCAGGGTCACTTTTTAGGCCCAAACTCATTACAATATATTTAAGTAATCCAATTAATTTATTCAAATAATCCAATAATTGAAATTATTGTTTTACGTTTCGAGAACTGGAATTTGAAAATAAGCTTTAAAAAGGTCTGCTTTAAAGAAAAAATTTTGCACCTTTTAAAATCTAATGAAAACATTCTATTTTCCAAATAGGGTAACGATCGAGTATTGTTTGGACACACGCAGGCATGTATAATCCCCGTATGGTCGTAAGATTCGATCTTTCTCGAAATATATGAAGAGGGCTTGCCCATGGTGATTTAAAAGGTCTAATTACGTATATCATTATCTACCATAAATTTGCATTCCTGTTTGGATAATTCTGATTTTTGTCGTCTAAAGTTCTAATCACATTATGTTTAGGCTACGCAGGACTGGACGTCGAAAGAGACAATTCTTAGAACCCGCACATTCCCAGGAAACCCACGTAGCTAGGTTACCATTTTCACTTACTGCAAATACTTGAACGCAAAACCAGAGCTGTAGCTAGGGTTTTTAGCATCTGGGGGCAAGTGAAAATTTCGCGGCCACCTCCTGTTTCATTTTAATAATTAATCAAATAATTTCACTTTAAAAATTCAGTTTATCAATTTGGCGCCGTCTGGCCTCCTGTTTCATTTTAATAATTAATCAAATAATTTCACTTTAAAAATTCAGTTTATCAATTTGGCGCCGTCTGGATGCCGCACCCAGGGACAGATGTCCCCCCTTCCTCCCTCTAGCTACGTCCCTGTGCTAAACAGTAATCGATAATCGCTCAGATTGAGATCACGTGATCTTTCAGAAGCAGAACATTCGTCTGATTGGTTGTATCTACACGGGACAGAGGTTTAGTCGGGACATTTTCGGTGAGGTCTGAAAAAATCCTGCGTAGCCGCAACATCGTTTCCACAGCTAGGCGGGACATCGCTTCCAGCGGGGCTCTTTTTTCTAGGAATCCTCCCCGTTTAAACCAGTGCTACCAGAATCTCGTTTCTCAGAAAAGTTCCGTCTAGCACGGACTATCGATAGAAGTGATAACTTCTTAACTGACGAGCTTTTTGAAAAACAGTAGTGCTTTCTGTAGCAATGTAATGGTTTATATTATATTTGGAGTCACAAGTTAAAAGATTGGGTTTCGTTAAATATGAATATTTTAACAACAAATTTGTATATTCATAATTTTTATGAGTTATGTTGTCAGTATTTGATATGCGCATAATATCACTTAATAGAAATATTTATAGCTCCATTAATTAATTTATATTATGTTATATCTTTATGTATATGAAAAATCATTTATTATGTATATTATAAGGTATTTCTCCCACCTTCTTAGCATGCTTTCGTGATGTTGTGGTCAGCAAACATTCACTGTGGAGATCCATAAATTCCTTTGCCAAATTATGAGAGAAAATATTATTCAGGTTGGAGGACCATGTTGCATTGAATGTTCAACAACAACCTGTAGTGATCAGTAGTAGTGTCATATTCGAGTGGTCCGTGGTTCGAAACCCGGCGAGGACATTGCTCATATATCCCTTCTTCAGCATCGAAATAACCAAATGTCTCTACAGTGGCGTCCGAACAAAAAAAAAAGGTGGTGGATGATTATTCTTCACCAATAGGATTTGGAGATTGTGGCCCCTATTCCCCAGTTACCCTTTAAAAAGGTGAGTATATAAGGTATTTCTCCCACCTTCTTAGCATGCCTTCGTGTTACGAGAAGTTTGGCAAAAAAAATTGTTTTAGTTTACGATACGTTAATAATGCAGGGAATCTGGAGTTTGGAAGGAGTTTGCTAGACATTGTGAATATCTTTGGCTGTTAGTAATTCAGTGTCTTTATCCCAAATTCCAATAAAGTGCTTTCGATATTGATCTTCTTCATTATTGCAAACCATTCAGAAATGAAGTTCAACCTTTTCCAATAATCTTTTCAATCTTATCGCGACTAAACTATACATCATCATAAGATTAGGTAAAACGCAAACTTGTAAAGGAAGAAGTATTTAAGAGTTGGTTGGGGGAAAAAAATTTCAGAGCTTGGGGGAAAAACATTCACTGTGGAGATCCATCATTCCTTTGCCAAATTATGAGAGAAAATATTATTCAGGTTGGAGGACCATGTTGCACTGAATGTTCAACAACAACCTGTAGTGATCTGAAGTGAAACACGGAATGTATCAGTTAGTAATGCAATCCTGTTTCCTATGCATTTCAAAGAATACTTTTGATGTTGAGAATTTGTAATGGACGTATAAAATTCCAGTACCCAAAGATTGTTAATATATTTAATTATAAATGGATCAGTAGTAGTGTCATCATTTTTCCGTTTAATTTCAAAGCTCACCTTTAATGTTGAGAAAAATCCTCTTAAAAATTTCCAATACCCGAAGATTGTTGACAGGGTAAGACTATAAATATATCGGTAGTAGTGTCATCTTTTCACTTTTCAATAATTTCTTCCTTTTCATTTCAAAGAATTCTTTTCGACATCATTGATGTTGATTGTAATATTTTGGGGTAGGTTCTGATTAGGATTTCCTCCAAACCAGAAAATCGTTCATAGTATTTATTATTATTTCTCAATATAATCTCTCTTTTGTGACATTTCACTTCAGAGAATTCTATGTTAACGTTGGTATTGATTGTAATGTATTTCAACTGAGCCATAAAGGTCTCATTAGCAATCCAATACCAGAAAATCGTTCATAGGTTTGACTATAAAGATATCAATAACAATGCAATCCATCCTCATTTCATTTTTCAATTATTTACTTTTCATTTCAAAACAAAAAATTGCTATCTTAACAGCG